CTGGTGGCCCCACGGCACCGTTCTCACCGCCTGTCTCCGCCCCAGTGTCTTCTCCTGCACCGTCGCCGCAGCAGCAGCAATCGCCGCCGTCGCAGCCACAGCCGTAGTTGCCGCAGCCGCAGCAGCAGCCGCAGTTGCCGCCGCCATAGCAGCAGATGCCGCATGGGTCCGCCAGCTCCGGGGGTGCGAGCGTTGAGCGGGGTTCTAGTCCTGTGGTTACTGTCGTGGCTTGTCCCGGCGGTCCTGGGGGTGGCACTAGTGCTGGGGAGGGTACTCGCTTTGGGTTTGTTGGTTTTGGGGGTGCTAGTCCTAGGGATTCTAACGTGGCTTGTGGTGGTCCTGGGGGGGGCACCGGTGCTAGAGAGAGTTCTCGTTCAGGAGGTGTTGGCATGGAGAGTCCCGGAGGAAGCTGTTGTGCAGCTGGAGGTTCTAGTTTTGGTGTGGAGAAGCAGCAGCAGCAGTAGCATACGCCGCTGGTGTCTACCCTTCGCCTCCTTGATCTTCCCTTCCTTAACCACCCACCTGCGCCTCACCTGCAGCCGCCTCCCCTGCCTGCCTATGGCCCTGTGTTTCCGCTGCCAGACTCATCGCGGCGGTGGCATCTTAGAGATCCACCGGCACCTACGTCGGCGCGGTTCCTTCACCTGGGGTGAACGTAGTCGATGGCCGGTGGCGCTTCAAGGTGAAGCGCCCTCCTGGAGAGCCGCCGGTATTCAAGGCGCGCTACGTTGCTAGAGGCTTCAATCAGCGCAAGGGTGTTGACTTCTTTCAGACCTTCGCCCCGACCCCGAAGATTACCACTCTTCGGGCGCTGCTACACGTAGCAGCTCAGCATGACTACGAGCTGCACTCTCTGGACTCCTCCACACATTTCTCCAGGGCAGTCTGCATGAGCAGGTCTACCTGCACCTTCCGCCAGGGTTCACCGACACCTTCGCCCTTGGGACCAAGTGGCTCCTCCGGCGCCCAGTTTACGGCCTGCGGCAGGTGCCCCATGAGTGGCATGATACGCTGCGTGCTGCGTAAGCTGACTTACAATTCTTCCCGTCGTCTGCAGACCCTTCACTCTTCGTCCGTTCATGACACACCTCGTTCTACATCCTTGTCTATGTAGACAACCTCGATTTAGCTACTGCAGACAGAGACACTCTAGCCTCGGTGAAGGCTGAGCTTCTGAGGAGACACACCTCCACTGACCTAGGAGACCTGCGCCGCTACCTTGGACTATAGATCTCCAGGGATAGAGCAGCGCGCACCATGACTCTCGCACAGTCACACATGGTGTGCCAGGTCCTTCAGAGGTTCGGTCTTCAGTTCTCCTCCGCGCAGCCCATACCTCTGCCAATAGATCACAGGCTCTCAGCTCTAGTCCCTGAGGAGTCGGTAGAGCCTAGTGGTCCGTACGCAGAGCTGGTGGGTTGCCTCATGTACCTGATGACTTGCACTCGTCCAGATCTCGCATACCCTCTCAGCATCCTGTCTCGCTTTGCGGCGACAAGCAGACACCGACCACAGCACTGGTCGGCAGCTAAGAGGGTTTTGCGTTATCTAGCAAGTACATCGGGCATGGGGCTAGTGCTGAGAGTAGCCCTGATCTTGCGAAGATTGCAGAAGTCTGCGGAAGTGGCATATCAACGAAGTCTGCGGACACGAGCCCTGCAGAAAGGCCCATCGACAAAGAGCAGATTTGTCGACAAGGCGAGGCTCTGTGGGAAGTGGCAGAGGAGCACTTTTCGTTGGTGGCAGAAAAGCGGTTCTGTCGGAGTGGCAGAGCAGGAAAGCCTTTTCTGCAGATGGCTTCTACAGACTTCTGTGCTTTCAGCGCGAGTGTACAAGACCCTCTGCCGATTTGGCACCAGGGGCCATTCGCAGAAGGGTTGTCCTTTGCAGAAGTATCGCGCAGAAGACATTTATGCGGGCGACCCTTTCGGCAGAAGCGACTCTACAGAAATGCGTTCCAACAGGACCTCAGGCAGAGTGGCGCAAGAACCTGTTCGCGCAGAATTGCGTTTTGCGGGAGTTCAGCAGAAAGGCAATTCGGCTCTCTCTTCTGTTGTCCACCCCCTTGGCAAAGACAAAATCTGGCAGAAGCGCAGCAGAGAGTCATCTCAGACTTCGCTTCTGCGAGCGACCCCTTCGACAGAAAAACGGGGACTTAGTTTTTCTGACGAAGGTAGCGTTCCGAAATCGCGAGAAATCTGCGATTTCTTATGTTAACCATAGAACCGATCTGGACCGAAAACGACAAAATCTACCTGCGACATTAAGAAATTGAACTCGTGACGCACATTTCGTAACTGCGGAAATGTGCGTAACATCTGACACTTTCATATCTGAAACTGTTAAAACTACTACTTCTAAGTGGGTGAAAATTACCAATTAAGCATGTGTTGTAATTTTCTCCAGCCATTGCTGACTTGGCTAAGCGCAGTTTAGATTAGTTATGTAAACGTTCTCGTGCAAACGTTCTCTCTATGTTCAATGAGGTTCAATGGGGTAGTATTAGTGTTTGCCTTGTGTACCATACTTTGTAATCTTGATTCTAGTAAATTTGTGTGCCCAAGCTTTCTCAAAAGCTACTGAGTGAAACACACAATTCTGAAGGCAGCTTCTCCTTAGAGAACGACTGAGCTAGAGAGCTCTATCTGCGTCAGGCACTTTCGCAGAAGCTCTCGTTATAGCAGTAAACTCTGCAGAGGGTTTTGCGTTATCTAGCAAGTACATCGGGCATGGGGCTAGTTCTAGGAGGACGCAGGCCAGTGTACCTGACAGGGCATACAGACGCTTCGTGGGCCGACGACGCCGAGACGCTCAAGTCCTCTCAGGGCTACTACTTTAGCCTTGGTGCAGGCGATGTCTCGTGGAGGTCCACCCGCTCGTCGTCTATTGCGCAGTCTAGCTGCGAGGCTAAGATCTACGCAGGTGCCATGGCGGCACAGGAGCTCCGCTGGCTGATGTTCGTACTCACTGACTTAGGTGGGCGGCCCAGCTCTGCCCCGGTCCTGTACGCTGACAAAAGGGTTATGATCCTCCTGTGTCAGGAACTTCGAATTGAGGGTAGAGCGAAGCACATCCAGCTGCGGTACTTCCTCCTGCGCGAGCTGCAGCAGCGACGCCTGGCCCGTGTAGTTCACTTGGCCTCCGGTGCCAACACAGCTGATATCTTTACTAAGGCGCTTGCGCGTAAAGATCATCAACAGCACTGTTTACGGCTTGGTCTAGTTCCTGTAACTCCTCACTTGCTAGGACCTTGATTGTGTACTACTCTTATTATATTCTCCTGACTGGCCTTGTGGCTTTTGTTCCAGTGGTGGGACTAGTAGTATCACCCTGGTTTGCTTTTGTCTTGTTTGTACTCTTCTGAGTGGTCTTCAGACCCTTGCCTCAGAGGTTGGACTAGTAGTGCCACCCTGAGCTGCGTGTCTCTTGCCAGGCACTGCTCCTTGTCTAGCCTAGGGGGTGTGAAAACATATAGTTGTATATGTTATATGCTAGATAGGTGCATGCTCATAGAGGGTACAGCGCCATAGCAAAAAAAACCCATGTATGGCACAATCTAGTTCATTGCGTTATTCTGACAAGGTCTTCCGCTCAGGCTCGTTTGACCTCCTCTCCCCCCTTGTCGTTTTCCCCTCTTGCAGTTTTCAAGTGGGGTTCCGGCGGCGGCTTTCTCTCCAAATTTCAGCGCAAGATAAAGCACAGCGTCATGCAAATTCGGGATAGTGCCGAGTATAGGAACTGCAGCCCTACAAAGGCTAACACCATATGGAGTGTGCTTGTTGCGCGCCAGGGAACTGTGTCTATCCGGCTCTCTGGAACCGATTTCTATTTCCTCAGCTCTGCAGGCAATGATTATGCTCAAGGCATGAAACTCCACATTCCTTCCGTTGGAGCTGGGTAACTTTATGTATTTGTTAGACATCTCTTTGTTTTTGCCAAATCGCCCAAAGATGCAGCACCTTGAAATGCATTCCTAACCACTAGCCTTTCATCCACCCTCATGAGCTGTTAGTGGTTATAGTACAGGCTGGATTCGTTGTCGGGGAGGCCTTTAGTGGAGATTCTTGTCTTTGACCGGCAAGATTTTTTCGAGGGCTTTGTTTGGTGGATCCCACGGGACCTGGGCATTCGTTGCTCGTGGTCGTGAGAAATATCTGACAGCTTCCCTGCTTTGAGGATGGCTGTGTCGAATCAAGTCACGGGAGGAGGATATTGGCGGGGGCAGCCAATTACTTTTCAGTTGTGACTCACACTTCTCGTTCCCCACTTTCACCCGTTAGCTACACCAAACCACCCAGTAGCGTAACGCCGCCCCGTCGATTTTTTCCACCCGTCCTCCTCCAACAACACCCATCACAACCGCCACCTGCCCCAGCCCACCGCCGCACGCACATTGCATGATGATTCCACCTCCCCCACCGCCATTTCCCCCTCAACCCGAGCAGCCCTCCAGCTGCTGCGCGCATCCAATTTCTGGGCCATCCCGGGGCAGTTGTAGCTCTCCCCACCCCCCACTCGTTTTCTTCCCCCAGACGCGGCACTCGGGCGGGAGAGAATGCCCGTTCTCCCCCAAACCAAGTGCCGCGGCCACAACGAACCTCTTCCAGCGTTGTTGGGGGCACGTTTGAAAAATATTTTGATCGGGCATTTCAGCGACCTGACCCACAGCGCACACGCGTTTGCGGGATTCTCGGAACTTCACATCTCAACCGTCCATCGGCCTCGGGAATAGAGCGACTCTTTCCTGCGATCGCATCATTCCCAACGGCGCGTGGAAAGGAGTTTTGATCGATTCTCTCGAGTCTCTCTCGACTCGAATTCGCGTGCATTTCGAGGTGAGCAGCTGTCCCTCCCCGCTGACTACCTTCCACCCATCATCCATCCACCATCCACCATCCACCATCCACCATCCACCATCTCGGCTGTCATGCTTGAAGGAAGGTTGGTTTTCCAAGAGCCACGCCTCAACTCAACTCAGTTGCGGGAACGGGCAGACAAGGTTGGATTTCTGGTAGCAAGTTCCATTTGTTCCGGAGACCAGTCTCTTGTTCCTTAAAGGTTCCTTATTCCTTCGTCTGGTGACTCGAAGTCACCATCATTGGACATTTCTGCGACGCTGAAGTTGGAGACATGTGGGAATACCAGTAGTACGCAGCACGCAGAAGCAACTTGTCGCAGCAGGGTCTTCCGGCATAAGGCGAGGCATTTATTCAAACGTTTAGATAATTTCGACGTTCTCCCGGTTTCGTTATACGTTTGGCACTCAGTCTTTCGCGAGCTTCGTGAAACTTCGGAGGAGCGATCGTCTGACGAGAGTCCGTTCGCAACGGTGATGTGGCCGGGCCTGTGACGCAATTCGATATGCTTGTAGCGATGCCTGTGTCTCTATCGACCGGGACATGCTAGAAAAGGCAGCACGCTGATTACTACAAATACCGTAACAGCATGGAACAGCAGCAGCATCAGCAGCAGCAGCAGCAGCAGCAGCACTACAAGCAGCGCAGCAGCACTGACTGCAGCGAGAGAGGCGCTGACGCTGGCAGCAGCCATAGCTACGTGTCCAGCAGCCTTCCAACAGTTCCTGTCGAAGCATCTTCTGTCGGTCAACCGACAGTCGGCGCTTTTTCTGTCGACTCGCATCCACGACATGAGCGGTTAGCTCGAGGGTCGATTCAAATATCACCTTCTCCTGTCGCACTCTCGCCTCCAAGTCATGAACGGTCAGCACAAGGGTCCAGGGGAGGTCACTACGAGGCCAATTTCCCTGTAGAGATTTTTGAGTCGACTCAGATATCACCTTCTCCTGTCGAGCCTTCGCATCCACGTCATGAGCGGTCAGCACGAGGGGCCCGGGGGGGTTGCGAGGAGATCACTTCGTTTGAAGAGATTTTTGAGTCGACTTCCCCTGAAGAGGAGACTACGAGGCGCTTGCTGCCCGTCTGCAGCGACGATCTAGAGATCGTGATCGACGGTCAGGATTCGGCGTCGGAGTTAGTCGGCAGCGCCCCCGCCGGGGGCAGTCAAGCGGGATGCGGCGTCCGCAGCAGCGGATGCTTCCCCGGGACTCCAATGGCCGGCGGCAGGCCGAGCGCGAGCGCTCGACTGACGCAGTGCTTCGTTATTGACAGCTCCGCTGCAAGCAGCTCCGACTACAGGTTCGGTTCCAGCACAAGTAACGACTCTACAGCCAGCACCACCAGCAGCAGCAACAGCGGCAGCTCGAGCCCCGGTCACGCGGGTGATGACGTCAGCAGTGGGGGGGGCAATGCTCTCAGCCCCGAGTTTGCCGACGCGGTGGTCGCGCAATCGGCGGAAAACGCGGGAACAAGATCTCGCGCGAGAGGGCTGGCGCAGAGGATATGGCCCGGCGCGCGCTCATCATCCGCGAGGGGCGGAGTGAGGGGTGCGCCGAGCGCGGAAGGGGCGGAAAGGGAGGCGCGGGGAAGGAGCAGGAGCAGAACGCGCGGGCCTGTGAGAAGAGCTTCGGCGGGAACCGCGCATGCGCGTGAGGAGGATGACGCGGGGGGGGAAGAGGGGGAGGGCGGCGCAAGGGGAGGTCGCGGGGAGCGCGGGGACGGGGAAGGCGGGCGGGAAAGAGGTAACGAGCAGCGGCCGCTATCCGTGGTTATACATGGGCCTGGGTCGTCGTTCTTTGTTGGCACAGAGGTTGTTTATAGCGGGGATGGGGGACACGGGAGGAGCCCGAGCCAAGTCGAGCGTGGCAAGAGCAAGAGTCCCGTTAAAGAGATGAAGACGAAGCACAGGGCTGACGGAGAGCCAGGGGCTTATAACGGGGATGCAGGGGCATCCCCGGACTGTATAGTAATAGAAGAAAGCTACAGCGTTTCCTGCCACGCTGAGGCGTACAACGGGACTGCTAATAACGAGAATTATGATCCCGAACGGGGCCACGCGAGTGGAGGGGAGGAGAGTGACGGCAGCTGTAGCAGCTACTGTAGCGACGACAGCAGCTGTAGCCGCGGGTCCGGCAAGGGCGGCGGTGTAAGAGAGAAGCGAGAAGGCGGCAGAAATGAGGATGGGGGAGAGAACGATCTTATCAACTTCCAATTCGGTACGGTTCGGTACAGTTCGTTATGGTTTGGAATGGAGCAGGGGATTGTTTTCTCTCAATTCCCATTCCCATTCCCATCCCCATCCTGCCCTTTCCCTATCCCCATCCCCCGATATGCCTCACTTCCCTTTAAACCCTTTCTCGTTTCCCTTCCCCCTCACCTATCCGCGTCCTCCTCCCACCTTCCCCCGCCCCCCCTGCTCCCCCTCACACCCCCTCTCCCCCCTCACGCCCCCTGTTCCTTCCAGTGAGCGCGTCGGGCGAATCAGAGGGCGACACGTGGATAGAGGCAGTGCACATGGTTCTGCCACCTGTCATCCCGCGGTCCTCCTCCCAAGCCACGATGGACGCTCTATTTGCTCCTAGCGGCACGACTGGCATGGAGCCGATACTAGACGCTAAGTGGGAGGCGGGCTTTAAGAGGACTAAGAGGGTCTTCAGGTGCCTGCTGCTGCTGGGGTGTCTGCTCTATATCGCCGCCTTTATGTGTAAGTGCTGCTCCTATAGGCACAAGTGGGAGGGGGCACTTAACTTAGAGTGCCTACGTTAAGTGCCTACATGCCTACGTGCCTACGTTACGTGCCTACATGCCTGCGTGCCTACATGCCTACATGCCTGCGTGCCTGCATGCCTACATGCCTACATGCCTACATGCCTGCGTGCCTACATGCCTTCATGTGTGCGTGCATACATGCCTACATGCCTGCGTGCCTGCGTGCCTACGTGCCTGCTGCCGCTGGGGGTGCGGTGCCTACGCCACTGATTTTATGTGTACGTGCTGACTTCTGTAAGTGGACACTCGGATGAGTTTTGAGTCGACTCAAAAGTCACCGTATGAGTCGACTCAAAAGTCACCGTATGAGTCGACTCGTAAGTTCTGACTTCTGTAAGTGGGCACTCGGATGACCTTGTTTCTCTTCTCCTCTTAACCCCCCCCGTTTCCCCTTGTGTCTGTGCCTTGCCCTCCAGCTGGCATCATTGTAAATAGCACCGCTGGATCTACCTCCCCCAGCTGCACCTCTTCTCACTCCCGCTACCTTTCTTCCTGCTGCTTTTTGTCTGTGCCTTGCCCTCCAGCTGGCATCATTGTACATAGCACCGCTGGAACTACCTCCCCGTGACCTTGCCGTTTGCCGCCTCTCTTCCTTCACCCCTCTTCAACCCTCTTAACCCCCCGTTTACCCCTCTGTCTGTGTCTTGCCCTCCAGCTGGCATCATTGTAAATAGCACTGGTGGAACCACCTCCCCCATTACCTTGCCATCTGCCGCCTCTCTTCCTTCACACACTGACGCCAGCACCAGCAGCACCACCACCAACTCTCCATCATCACCCACCCCTCCCCTGAGCCCCAGTCTCTTCTGGTCTCCTAGCCCTCCAACTGCCATCAGTGCTCCTACAGACTTGAGTGGCGCTGACGCCAGCAGCAGCACCACCACCTCCACCACCAACTCTCCATCATCCCCCACCCCTCCCTTAACCCCGAGCCTCGTTTGGTCTCCTAGCCCTCCAATTCCCATCAGTGGCAACCCGCTGGTAGACACTAATGAGGGGCGGACAGTAGAGGGGGGACCCATAGGGGGGGGAGGAGTAGAGGGAGGGGCTGTGGCAGGAGGCGAGATCCCTAGTGAGAGTGCCACTACAGACTTGAGTGGTGCTGGCAGCAGCAGCAGCAGCAGCAGCAGTAACAGCACCAGTATAAGTAACGCTAGCAATAATGGCACCAGCAGCAGTGCTATGGGTGATGACGAGGATGATGGGGGCGATGTGCCGATTGCCAACAGCCTCGATGCCATGGCTGCATCCATGCTGACGTCACCAACCCTCTGGATCGCCATGTCATACCTGTAAGTCTTATAGCGTGCCTGTAAGCCTTGTACCGCACCTGTAAGTCTTACAGCGCGCCTGTAAGCGTGTGTGCCTTGCCTGTAAGTTGTGTAGTTTGTGTGTGCGTCCTGTGACATGCCATGACGCCCATCGCCAACACTCTCGATGCCATGGCTGCATCCATGCTAACGTCACCAACCTCTGGATCGCCATGTCATACCTAGTTCTGGGAAGCTTCCGGCACACTGCCATCGCCCCGTCACCACCCCTTTCCTTCTACTTAAAAACAGAGAAACCGCTCCCTCCCCACTCCATTCGCCCCCTTTCTTCTTCCCACCTTTCCCCATATCCTCAACATTCTCTATCTGATTATTGCATGCGTTGGCCAACATTTCACTCTAAAGCCACCAACCCTCCCCCCCTCTCCCTCCCGCTCCTCCCCCCCCCATCCCCCTCCCCCCTTCCTGTATCCCCGGCGTTTGTTATCTGATGATTGCAAGCCTTGCCCAGCTATTCTCTTTGAAAGCACCAACCCTCCCCACCCCTCGCTCCCCCTTCCACCCCCCCTTCACTCCCCCTCCCCCCCCCCCCCCCCCCCCCCCATCTCCCTCTTCCCCGAATCCCCAGCATTCTTTACCTGGTGATTGCGAGCCTTGGCCTGGCTGGTGCCCATTTCAACAATGTGGTACGTGCTGCTGCTGCTGCTGCTGCTGCTGCTGCTGCCGCATCCCTGCCCACTGCGTCTCCTCCTCTTTTTTCTTGCCAGGGCCGTGCATTTTTCTGAGTTGTGTGCGATAATCCAGTGCGCTTTTACCATCCTTGATATTCTCCTTTAATACGGGACCCAAAAAATACATCTTCCCTATTGCCTTTCTCGTTACAGGGCATGATGACCCTCTTCATATTGATCCAGACCACAGTGGCGGTTATCTCAGCACTCGACTCCATTCGCCCTTTCCTCATCTTCCTCGTCCTACTAATTCTCCTCGCTGTGCACATCAGATTCCATATGCTATCTGTAAGTACACTTTGTACTCGATATTAGCTGCCTCCAATTCCTTTTCATCTTCTGTTGCTCTCCATTCAGTTCAGTCGCACTCCTCGCTGCCCACATTAGATTCCATATGCTATCTGTGAGTACACTTTCTCTTCGATACAAGCTGTTTTGTGAGCTCCCTAATCTCATAACATCTCTGTTAACTTTGCTTACTCTAAACATCATCCTCCGCTTCCTAGTAAATACCCTCTGTCTTCGGTAGTAGCTACCTCCAATGCTAAACATTTTTAAATCTTCATTTTTTTTTCATCTCCATTGCACTCCTTCCATCTTGCTCAGATGGAGCTGGCTGAGCGGCGGTTGCTAGCAAGGCTTGTGGGCCGACCTGTTCCCCCTCCGCACACTCACCATTGGCCTTATGTAAGTGCTGCTGGCCCCCAATTTTGGCCTTGCGTAAGTGCTGGTGGCCCCCACTTTTGGCCTTACGTAAGTGCTGGTGGCCCCCACTTTTGGCCTTATGTAAGTGCCGATGGCCCCGACTTCTGGCCTTATGTAAGTGCTGGTGGCCCCCACTTTTGGCCTTACGTAAGTGCTGGTGGCCCCCACTTTTGGCCTTACGTAAGTGCTGGTGGCCCCCACTTTTGGCCTTATGTAAGTGCCGATGGCCCCGACTTTTGGCCTTATGTAAGTGCTGGTGGCCCCGACTTTTGGCCTTATGTAAGTGCTGGTGGCCCCGACTTTTGGCCTTATGTAAGTGCTGGTGGCCCCGACTTTTGGCCTTATGTAAGTGCCGGTGGCCCCGACTTTTGGCCTTATGTAAGTGCTGGTAGCCCCGACTTTTGGCCTTATGTAAGTGCTGGTGGCCCCGACTTTTGGCCTTATGTAAGTGCCGGTGGCCCCGAATTTTGGCCTTATGTAAGTGCTGGTGGCCCCAACTTTTGGCCTTATGTAAGTGCTGGTGGCCCCGACTTTTGGCCTTATGTAAGTGCTGGTAGCCCCGACTTTTGGCCTTACTGTCAGTGTTTCTTTCAGGGCCTATGTGGGTAGCGCGCGAGGGTTGTGGGATGTCCTCCCTCTCCTCCTCTCCGTTGTGGCTTGTGGCTCGTGGCCTTTGATGAGCCTTTCTTATGCAGAACTTTCCCTGTGAGCGTAGCGTACCTTTTTAGCCTCTCATTTGCAGACTTCTGCTCTCTCTTCCAGAATCCTCCCTCCCTCACGATACTAACTCTCCTTCGCCCTGTGCATCCCCCCTTGCCCCCCCCCCCCCTCTTCCCCCACAACCGCTTCCCCCAAATCTTCCAGCGTCTGAGGATGTTTCCTGGAAGCTTCTCAGAAATGCTGCGGCACACCCCTGTGTCGCGGTTTCGACTGAGAGGGGAGCCGTGGTACCAGGAGATAGTGGTGCGGTACAGGGCTAGGAGGGTGAGAGAGGCGAGTGAGACCAGCGAGACCAGAGAGACCAGAGAGACCAGAGAGACCAGAGAGAGGGAGCGAGGGGGAGAAGGGGAGGGGGGGGGAGGAGCTGAGGCGGGTGTAAGGGGGGAGGAGAGGGGGGAGGAGGAGATGGAGAGGATTCAAGAGCAACAGAGGCAGCAGCATCCCTTGGGACAGTGGTGGAGAGGGGGGGAGGAATGGAGAGGGCATGGCCGCAGGAGACAGCGCAGAAACGAGCAGGCAGGCAGGGAGAGGAGCAGGGGGAGGAGGAGCATCCAGGATGGGGCACGAAGTGGACGGGATACTCACGACATGCGTCATAGTAGTGCAAGCAATGCTGCTGATGTTACAAGGTCAGGGAATGAGAGGCAAGTGCAGTCAAGGGAGGAGGAGTCGGTGCAACCCACGGCATACCCCTCTCCACCTCCAAGAACTCCTGGAGCTGCTGCTCTTCTTCCCATGCCGTCAAGCATATCCTCCTCTTCTCCCCCCTCTTCAGCTTTTCAGACATCTCCTCTTACTCCAGACGACTCCCGTTCCCCCGATCCGCTTTTGGGGCTCAACTATGTGCCTAACCAAACAGGAGGTCCACAATGAAAGGGCAGGATATCCTTCTTATTGACCTTATGATGAAATAATCGTTGCCAATGCTGTAAGACATATGCCACTCGTCAAGCTTTGCTATCAACCCAGCTTTCTTTTCGAGTGCAAACGTCGAAGCCCCATGACTTGGTGGTGGTAGTGGATTATGTGGGTATGTAGACAATTACCACTTTTCCTTTCTAACAACGTCACGTGGCAAGAGCTGTTAGAACGGTGATGTTCAAGAGGGGTCGAAACACGTGACTTGCTTGACATATGCGCCTCGGGATCGTTTTGCATGTCGCCAACTTTCACAAAAGACGTCAAGCGCCTTGATCAGCCTCTCTTCAGTCGCCACCTCAGCGGCCCTCACGAAACCCAATGGATCCAGCGACCCGATTGACCACGATAGCGCGGTCCGATTCCCCCGAGACGAGACAATTTCAGCGGCCCTCGCAATTTCACCCTCACAGCATTCCCGAAGCGCATTTTACGAATTTCCTACATTTCCGATTTTCCCAACGCAGTCAGCCGAGCAGCACCAACTATTCAAATGCAACGCAGATCAAATCTGTCACCAAATCTTTCACACCACCTCCCCTTCAGCCCTAGTTCCCAGCCGGTCGCAGCTAGCTTCAGCTGGCTGCGTCCGGACTGAGAGCAGCTAACTACAGAAGCCCTGGGCAGACTGTGCAGCAGCCTCAACCGTCATTACCAGCTGTGGCTGGCGGCAGCAGCTCAACTCAACGGTTGAGCAGCCATGATGGCTGTGCATGGTCTCAGGCTGTCTCTGAAGAGCGTGGCGGTCCTGTGGGTCATTGCGGCTGGCCTCTTCTGTACTTCCATGTCCGGTAAGCTTTGCAGCATCACTTGAAACGATGGAGTGTTTTGAGGACGCTGTTTCTTGCGCGATGCGTCTTCTCACTTTCAGACGAGAGAAAAAAAATAGGGATATTTACCTTTTGGGTTTCAAGAATGGGTTGTGATTAGCATGCTGTCCCTTCCCCTAGCCATTGACCAACAATCTCTCCTACAGCCTCCCTCTCACAGCATCTCTCCTCATCTCTGTCAGGCCGATGCTGCAGGTCTGGCAACGCATTCATGTTCCACGTTCGTGCGCCCTTCACCCTCTTGATTTCGCTCTTTCTCAGCAGGTGAACCGCTGCCGCTCAATGGGAGGGACGCCGGGACTTCTGAGGAATTATTTTTGAGTCGACTCAAAAATCACTTAAGGTGAGGGAAGTGAGGGAAACTCCCAACTCTGGGGTCCACTGAAAACGTCGAATATATCACCACCCCACCTTAGGTGGCCTCCTTTACTACGATTGCAATATATTGTTCTATCCATACATTCAGTGCTTTTTTAGGCGCCTCAAACTGCTGTTTGAAGAGCCTGAAGGGGATCATTTATCTGTCACATTCCTTTGCCACCGCTTTCTGGTATGTATGGTTCCCTCAAACTGTTAGGTTTGCTTCAATTCTCAGTGAATTTGCGTCATTATGCGCCCACCCTACCATATTCTGTTTCCAGTTCTATTCTGTTCCCTATTCCAGATGCTACCATACGCAACGTACCCTGTCCTCACCATTCCCCACCCACCCTCCCCCCCCCCCCCCGCCCCGTAGTATCTCAACCCCCTCTCCCACCCCTTTCTCCCATCTCTGCCCTTGCTTTGCCCATCACTGTACAGTCCAATCACAGCGACAGCACTGAGCCAGGCTCATTACAACGTGTTCCCAGCAGTTTCCTATCCCAACATCTTTGGCTTCAATCTCCCTCTGTCTCCCTTCTCCTACTTCCCCCCACCCCTTTTCCCCACACGAACACCGATTGATTGTTCACAGTGACAACACCAGGCCTCTCAACGTCTTTTGCCTCAACCTCCCTTTGCCTCCCTTCTCCTCCTTTCCCCCACCCCCTTTCTGTACACGAACACCCTTTGATGGTTTACAGGGACAACACAGGGCCGGGTTCGCCCTATTTCAACGTCGTTGGCTTCAGCCTCCCTCAACACTGCCTCTCCCAGCTGCCTGTCAAGGACAAGGTTATGAAGTTCAAGCACTCGCCTCCTCCCCCTCCGCCCTCTCCCCCTTCTCCGTCCCCTTCGCCCCCTCCTCCTTCCCCCCCTCCCCCCAAGAAAAAGAGCCCTCCCCGTCCTGGCAAGAAAAAGTCTCCCCCCCCTCCCCCCAAGAAGGAGTCTCCTCCCCCTCCCCCCGAGAAGAAGTTTCCCCCTCCCCCTGAGAAGAAGTCTCCCCCTCCCCCTGAGTAGAAGTCTCCCCCTCCCCCTGAGAAGAAGTCCCCCCCTCCCCCCGAGAAAAAGTCGCCCCCTTCCCCCAAGAAGGAATCCCCCCCCCCACCATCTCCCTCTCTTCCTCCCCCCCCTCCACCCCACAAGCCCTCCAAAAAAGATCGTCGCATCCGTATCCTCCTAAGGCGCATTTCCTCACTAGTGCGCAGGGCATACAACATCCTCCCCACCAAAAATATGTTGCAAAAGAAGGCACTATGGGCTGTGGTGACAGCACTGGTTAACGCAGAGGGGCTTATGAACGAAGGGAAGCGGGATTTGGCTTGGCAACAGCTGGAGAACAGTGTTGTGACGTTGGATAAAGTGAGATCGGAGTTGAGGGGGGGGATGTGGGAACGTGGGGGGTGGGTGCAGCGGCAGACAGCATTAGGGTTGATTGCATCAGCTAGGAAGGAAATAGTGAAGGCTCAGACCTTGTTGCTTTAGTGAGTAATTGGCGTGGGTGCTGTTTCAGGAGAGAGAGAAAGAGAGAGAGAGAGAGAGAGAGAGAGAGAGAGAGAGAGAGAGAGAGAGAGAGAGAGGAGAGAGAGAGAGAGAGAGAGAGAGAGAGAGAGAGAGAGCTATATAAGGCCTTTCCTCCCTGCTCTTCCTAGATTATTCATTTAGCCTGTGACAAGTCCTCAGGTTTTGGCGGCGGGCTCGCGCCGGCGGCCGAAGTCCGCCGGCGCTCGTGGCGCGGCCTTTGGCCGCGCATAGAAGTGAGCGGCAAGTATAATAAGAAAACTCCCAATAGGCATAGCATACATCAATAAACACAGTGCCTGCAGCGCTAACCACAGCAGACACCACGACCTAGGCATGAGCCACACCTAGGGAAACGGAGCAACCTGTGCGACCCCACCCGCGGTGTGATAACCCCACCATGGGCGTGAAGAGCACCAAAACGGCGCCGAGGTTCACCCCGGGGGCAAAAGCCGGGCCATCACTGGCTGCATGGCCCGCAGAACAGCAGCTGCAGCAACAGCAAGACCCGCAGCCGTCTCAGCACCAACCGCCCGCGACATCGCCAACACTGCCAGTGGCGCCGCTGCTGCCTCGTCAACAGCCACGCGGGGCTGAAGAGGCACGTACACCAGCCCCCACAGCAGCATCGCCACCGCTTCCTCCGCCCGAGCCCGCTGGCGTTGCGATAGCACTGGATCGCGGGCCACAGGAGGGCGACGCTCCAGAGCCACATGGAATACCTCCAGCAGCTCCGCCACCCAACCAGGACATTCAACGAGCCCGGTTAGCTGCTGCTGACGGGAGTACACCGGACCGTCACGCGACCGGCGCAAACGAGGGATCTTGGGAGGAGGGGATCGGCGAAGGCGAACACCCCGAGGGAGACCCGTTGAGGAGGTGGCTCCGCTCGGGAAGAGCGCACGGAAGCGTGGGTCGGGCGGCAGCGGACGACAGGGACCTCGCAACGCGGAACCCCCGTTCCGTGAATGAAACGGTCGCCTCCCAATGGCGTGATCAGCCGCCAACTCGGAGCCATTGCAGGAGTGCTGCGCCTCCCACACCCGCTGGTGACTCTGGGGAGAGAGGAGCAGCTCCAACTCCAGCTCCATCAACGCTCGCGGCGTGTCGCGGGACGAACGGAGGCGTGGGGCCCGACTGCGCGGACGCGGCGGACGGGCCCGCAGCACCGTCAAACACGCCAGGCACGCGCGAGGATTCTGGCACGGCTTGGGGAACAGTGCAACCAGGCGGGCGTGGAGGGCGGGTAGGGAGACGAGGACGACGAAGGGGAACAGGGGGAAACGTGGGAACGCGGAGGTCCCGGCGGAGGCGACCTATCGCACGGGCGGGGGACTGGCGGGAACGGCACGGACGCCAGCTGCTAACAGGGACAATTGATGGTGGGAATGGTGGAAACGGGAGCGGGAGTGGGTATGAGTCAGAATGGGGCGGAAGCAGAGAATATGTACCTGGGTCATCAGAGGAACCTGGGGCAGAAGGGATCTCTGAGGGGGCTTCCGAAGAAGACGCGAACCGGCGAAGGAGAAGGAGGAGGAGAGTTTGAGCCACGAACTCGGCTAAGGGACCAGACTCGCCGGCCAATCAGAGCCAGGGAGCACGAAATCAAATTCGTCCCCCAGAAAATCTGGCTGGTGATGAAGCGCTGTGGCAATGCACCATTGGCTGGGACCTCACACCTTTACGTGATTCTCGGCAACACTACCTGGCGAGATACTTGCCCCCGAAAATACTGGAGATCTTTGCTGACTGCCTGCTGGTACCGCTCCAGCGCATCAATTCCCACCCAGATTGCCCGGGAGGATGGGGCGTCCTCACCTTTCTACCTCGCCTGACACTTAGACCTGGCCCAGGCACGGAAAAACGGTGGGAGTCCATTCGACGCCAGCTACAACAATTTCGGGAGGGGAATGGGACGAACTGTACACGGCAAGCAGGGATTCCATTTCAAATGCCCCAGCTGCCCGCTCTTTGTCGGACGCTGCCGGCATGGGCGCCCGTGCTGAAGGCCTGGTCTAGAAAACGAACCTCCGAAAGGCACTCGCGGCGTGACTGCCCTCGCCTGTCTCGCCAACCACCGCTGCGACACTCACGAGCCTACACGAAAAACACCCGGCTGCCACAGGCGAAAGCCCAACACATTGGCGCGAAGGGGCAGAGAGTTCGCTGGAAATCGGACACGCAGCATTTCGCAGGCTACTGTCAAAATGCCAGCATGGAATTAGAGGGGGACCATCGGGCACGTGCTTTGAGCACTTGCGGGACCCAGCCCTCCTCAACCCTCACGTGCTCAACCTGCTCCTGCACGCAGTCAACCTGACGGTTGGGGGCCAGCTTGCATCTGACATACGCGAGATTTTGCTACCCAACAAACTGATCGCCCTCAGCAAGCCAAACGAGGGGGTTCGCCCCATTGCAATAGGGGAGGTGTTCCTGCATGTAGCAGCTAAGGCGGCACTATAAGAACTGGCAGCAGTGACGCGGACATTTTTCCTGCCACACCAGTTCGGAGTGGCAGTCACAGGGGGAGCGGAGTGTGTGATCCACACCGTCCGAGCTCTACTACAGGCGTTCCCAGCTCATATCATCCTACAGCTGGATGTTGCCAATGCCTTCAACAGTGTCCACCGCCACAGCTTCTTGCAAGTACTGCAGTGGAGCCCACTCGCCCCGCTCTCCCCGCTTGCACACACCCTCTACGGTGCACCGTCACCACTCCTCGTTGACGCGGCCTTCAACAGTGCCGAAATCAGCAGCAGCAGAGGCGTACGCCAGGGCGACCCATTGGGACCGCTGCTCTTTGCCGCAGCCATTCAGCCAACGCTGACGCGTGTGGCAAACTGCTGCCCCAAGGCGATCGTCCTGGCCTATGCTGACGACATCACCGTCCTTGGACCACCAGCGGCGGCCACCAAAGCTTTCCAGCTCCTGCAAGAGGGCTTGCAGGAGTGCGGCTTGCAGTGCTCCCTCGCGAAGTTGGTTGGCTGGTCACCGAGTGCCACGAGCACGGCCCTCCTACCACCAGGAGTGGCACGAGCGGAGGGGGGTTTGCGCATCCTCGGAAGTCCGGTGGGGGAGGCGGAGTTCTGCAATTCCTACCTACGTGAGGCACTAGCTAAGGCGGCGGCACCCCTCGGCTAGCTGGCAGAGCTCCACCCCCAATACGCCCTCCTCCTCCTCTCGCGATGCGTGTCGCGGCGAGTCTCTTTCCTCCTTCGCTCGACACCGGCAGACGACTTACCACTGGTGGAGTGGCGGGGCTGGAGCGAGGACATGGTGCGGACAGCACTACGAGCAGCCAAACTCTAAATCCCACGAGGCGAACTTGAGTGGAGCCTCACATGGCGTCAGGCAACCCTACCCATCACCCAGGGAGGGTTGGGGATCACCGACCCCACCACGGAAGCGCCAGCGGCGTTCCTAGCATCAACGCTAGTAGCGGCACGGCTCATAGCAGGCATCCGCCCGCCTGCGGGACTACTCCGGGAGGCGAAACACCTGTTGGAGGGGGGAGGAGAAAGGGTGCTCCCGCTCCACACGGCCATCCGTGACATGGAGTCCCGCCTCCCAGAGGAGGCAGCGGCCAAACTCGCAGAAGCGCGCACCTCCACCCCAACAAGCGCTCTGCAGCACCGGCTGAGCAAGGACATCAACACCCGCCGCGCCGACGAGCTATTCACGGACACTCTACTGGACCGTCCAGGCCTGGAGAACGCCCACGGGACCCGTCTCACCAGCCTAAGGGGCAAAGGAGCCGGCGACTGGCTGCTAGCCCTCCCATCCCGGCCTGACCTCCGCTTCACACCAGCCTAGTTTGGGACGGCGCTGGCCTTCCGCCTGGGCCTCCCCCACCCTGTCCCAGGCGGCTGCTCCTGCAGACGGGCAGTAATTCCGGACACGAGCCTCCCAAACCACATCCTCCGATGCAACGAGGGCGGGTACCCAAAGAACCTCCACAACGCTCTCGTGTACGCGACGCTTCGCATGGCTCGGGAGGCCAAATTCAGCGTCTACCACGAAACCACCCAGTTCACCACCCTGACGAATCGGAAGCGTGCAGACTTGGCGGTGCAGGACAACGAGAGCGGGGCGACATGGGTCACAGACATCACGGTCACCGACCCGGTGCTCCAGCGGCAGGACCTAGATGCGGGTGGCCTCCCCGGCTGGGCAGCCCGGGAAACAGCCCGGGTCAAGGATCGAGAGTATGAGGACCGGCCGGCGTGGCTAGGCTTCTATGCCCTAGCAATCGAGACCTATGGGGCGCTGGCCCCCTCCACGGCCCAGTTCCTGCAGCTGCTGGCCAACCACGCGGCACTGGTCCGATTCAGGGCCAACCCCCTTACTACCCCGGCCAAGAAGCTGTTCTCCCACTTCCGGCAGAGGTGGTCAGTGCTCCTGCAGCGGCTGCAAGCAAACACCCTCATCACCCGCAGTGGCCTAGCCCTTGACGCCGCCCACCCCCAGCCTCAGACCGACCCGTGGGCGCCACACCTTGGGGACGTGTATGATACCTTAGACCATGATGAGCCTTAGGGGGGAGGATAGGCAGGGGTGTTGCATTGCATTGCCAGCTTGCATGAAGGGACCATTGGTAGTCCTGCTTCTTCCATGTGCCCATGCTTAGCCTGTACCCAGGTTCCATCAATACAAGGACCACTTGAGAGAGAGAGAGAGAGAGAGAGAGAGAGAGAGAGAGAGAGAGAGAGAGAGAGAGAGAGAGAGAGAGAGAGAGAGAGAGAGAGAGAGAGAGAGAATGAAGGCGTATTTTCCAGGCATGGGCAGGAAAAAGGGCGCTTTGAAGAAGCAAGGGAGCAGGATTCTGGCAATAGTAAGTGACAGTGTACAGGGAGAGTGGTCGAGATACCCGCAATGCTGTGAAAAAAGAATAAGCGGGAGGTGAGAGGTGGGGGGTAAGAAGAAATGGAGTGTTATTCGGAATGTGGCAACTGCTCCTTGGAGTGGAATAAACGGATTGCAATGGTAACCAACCAGTACAGGTGTTTACCTTAAGCAGTTATGCAGCCTGAAACATGTTTGTATGCATGTCAAATCATGAATGGTATTTTAACAA